CATTATCATCATCATCATTATCATCATCATCATCATCAAAACGCGCCCAGGAAAAAACCTAATGGGAAGTTAGCTTTCATCTTTTTCCAGCTAACATTGATTTTATCAAATTTTTAACCCTCACATTTGCTCAATCATGATCTTTTCCAAACCCATTTTTGCATTTCTTTTTCAATACATTTCCGGATTTTTTCGTAGTTTTTTTCTCCAATCAATTTTCACTTCATCATTTGTTAACCTTATTAAATATTTGAAACTTCTCTCGCCACTTATTTTTATCATTTTCATCCACTTTTAAAGAAGGTATCATGACGGATAGAACGGAAAATAATTTACGAATGAATATTTCAATAAGATAATGCACAGGCTGATTTCTATCAATATTGAAAGATATCACCAATATCGTCACTAACGCTACGATATAAAAATTCGCATATTAATTTATGAATTTCATGGTCTAATGCTTTCACTGTTTTTTTTTGACGTTTATATTAGTACCGTATCATTATCGATCACAACAAAGAAATCTTAAATTAATGTTGAACTAGTTTCACTTGTACAGCTATTACAAAACAACTCGCTGTGTGATATTTTCTTTTCTTACGTCTGGAAATAACATCAACACACATATTTGTGCATGCGACTTATGGATTAGATTAATGAATGCTTACTATCAGATAATCAATCATTCTATTTATTTAATTTAGCGAAACTTTAGAGGTTATGAATGCTGCATTGGAACTGGTAGGTTTGCCGCTGGATTAAAATCAGATAAAGAATGAAATATAAATGGAATAATAAATTACAATTATTCGATTAAATTCACTAATCAGCCATTGTCAAAGAGAATTCTATAAGTGTTGTTGTCGAAAGATATTAATTAGTGATGGGTATGCGGAGATGAATTTGAAACAGACGTCAATATCAGTTTAACCGGGAATCTGGTCGTGAAAATTGTTGAGCGATAAGAAGGAAGAAAATTCAAAGGAGAAAAGATATTAAAACAAAAGAAATGTACCAATCCAGGGTATTAACAATATTAACAAATCCTCCTACTGGGAGGTGTGAACAAGAAGTGACACTTCCTCTTTTCAGTAATCATAAGCAACTCTAAAGACAAACAAACACTGCTTATCCAGCACTATGTCTTCCTTCAAACAATATTTCATTATATTCATATACTAAAGATCGGTTCTAATTCTTAGTTCCACCATACAATTTTTATTTGAAAACTTTAAGATTTAATCGATATCGAGCGGAAGACAACAACAGTTAGAACAGAATTTTAAATTTCTTTCCAGTTAATGAATGAAATGGTGAAAACTGCCAAAAAAAGTCCAGAAAAACCGACTGAAAATCTTTACATTCCCTCCTCCGGCTCACATTTTCTTATCGGAGCATACTATTTTTTTCCTTTAAAATACTGGGAGTTCAAAAACTGAAAAAGAATAATCTGATTTTCTCGGGACTTAGCTTTTGAAAAATTTTCCAGATCTAATCACAGAAAAAAATTATTTGTTTATTGCATACCACTGCTTCAAAAAAAATGCTACTGAGCAATCTCAGTATTAAAATTGGAAAAAAATTTTGGATTTCGACTAGAAATATTAAGTCAAGTAATTATTTCTTTAGCAGAGTTTCCCCCTTCGAAAACTCTTAGCAATGAAACAGTCAAAATACTGAAATATAATTATAATAAATCCTATGGAAAGAGATGAAGGAATCTCAAGGGTAGGATATATGAATGAGACAAATGTACATTTTAGTGGCTTTTCAACAACATACCAAATATAGGATTAAACAACCACAATCACCAGCAGACAATTTCATGATGCAAAGAACAACTACTGAAAAGTACCACAATCATCCCACTGTACAGAAGAGGATTTCTTTTAATAAAAGGATAAAACTCATTCAATATCATAATCCTAACATTCTGAGAAATCTATTCATGTAATACCTATCCTTATTCTAGAAATAAAAAAAAAAGCCTTTAGGACTGAATTAAGAACTAGCAATCAAAGTAATCAAATATTGTATCTTGGTTTTTGAGGATTTTAGATAAGTTCAATCAATAATACTAAAGAAAATTTAGATATTGTAATTATATAGATAACATGTGTTGAAACCATTCTTCTTTTCTATAACTTCGTTAGTGACTAACTGAAAAAGAAAAACTGCTTTCAATGATCAGAAGTCATTCAAACATTATACAGTACTGGTCAGAAATAGAAATTTTGGGAGGCAAAGTTTCAATACGAAGAACTTATAAATGAAATCATCCCAGCAATGACAAAAAATAAGCAAGAAAATGATTCGTCATAACAATGTCTTAAAGGTAGAGTTCTGAACAAGTCATAAGACTCACAAAGGAATCCACAAACATAAGAAATCTCTGACAATTACTAGTAATTGAACTAGCTTAGTTGATGTAACATATCAACCGGAATATGCAGAGATCATTAATAATGATTTAAATCAAACCATTCATCACGGTTATTTGATTAAATCCGAAACAAATATTCACATCCAGTAGGCTAAAATATAGGTAGAGAAAGGCAATGGAAACATTTCTATAACTAAAGACGAATAAGCTGTTTTACCTATATTGCAAAGCATAAATAGCAAAGATGAATATGCAGTAAATCGACAAACACATCAACTAAATAAACACTGTTTTTCACTTGCCTTATGCAAATTCTTAACTTTTTAAAATGTCATTATCATAGTAAAATGCAAAACAAATGGCCAAAATCAAATGAAAACCTTTCATTACAAGGAAACATACATTACAATGTAGTAAAATATGGAATAAAGCCTATCGTTTCAAAATAAAGTGTTCTTGGAAGGCATAAATAAATAAAGAAAAAGCAAATTACCGCTGAACGTACTTTTTTGTCAAAAATTAAGTAGAATTGCTTTTGACATCATATTTTATAAACAAATCCAGGTGGTAATAATAATATATACGTTTTTTAATGAAGATTAGTTAAACAACAGATAACTATTACTCTTGAATATTTTGATTTGAAGATAATTGACCTATTTGACAAGCTTGTACACAAGGACTTGGAACACCACCTGCACGACAATGCACTATATTTGGATGAAAACAGCCATAGTACAGAAGCATAAAGAAAATCCCTACAAGAAACAAGAGGTATATTCCTATCGCTATATACTCTTTATACGGCAAACTACAGTGTTCATTATTCACAGCGATGTTCAACAATACCTGAAAATTATCCAACAATTTTATGTGAGTTCTCGATATTGTATAAAAAGTTAAAGTTTAGTGTTCAGTGAAAATTTGAGGAAAAAAAGTCTTCTGTTTTAAGGAATAAAACAAACCTATTTTCTACACTTTTATTATAAGTATAATTCTAAAGGCTACATGTTATTCGAACAATTTGACTATTTAAGTATAAGATATTTCTACATCAAAACTCTGACATAAAATAACTGTTTTAAACAATTAAATTTGTTGCTGGTCTACTATTTGGGATCTTCACATGCAAACTTACAACAATTTCAATTGCTTCAATGCTGTACGCCACAGTATATCTGTAACGTGATCGGCCTTCAGCTATGTTATATGGAGCAAAAAAGTGAACAGCTGCACAAATTACAATCAACCCCACTTCCACTGATTTACTATTAGATTCCATTTCAAATGGCTAAAAAGTAAAATATTTCTCAATTGTATGAAAAGCCATTTTAAAACTTATAAATCAGGAATACGGATTTCGTTTCAGAGTAATTAATTAAAAGATTACCTGCAAGACGGCAATGTGTGCAATGGATATCACAAAATGTATTACAAATAAAACCAATATCCAGTACTGATATTGAAGTATGAAAAGCAAAAAACATATATATCGTGAGGATACTGTAAAAATGCGCCACAATAACTGAAATCGTAAAAAGTGATAGTTACAATTTTTCATTAAACAGCAAAAAAATCAACCTGGATTAAAGCGCCACTGGGTGTGATATTCTCTTTATCAGGTCGGCTCAATCTTAAACTCCGGTGCTGAATGACAAATGACCAGCAAGATGACAGCAGAGAAAATGAAATTGAAACCATCTGTATCAACACTAAAAAAATCACATACTACAGCATCGTTAAAAATCAGAAAGAAACTAATAAAACTGGAAAGTTATAGAAAATTACTTGAAGTAAAAATTGAGTCGTTTTTTACCGAATAAAAAGGTGATAACATACTCCATCTAGGAAAACTGTTAGCTGAATTCAGTGAATAAAATGCATGGATCAACGCAATACCCTGTACAAGCATTTGAGGTACTGATTCCAAAAAGGCCTCGAAAAATCTAAAATTAACTGAGCATATACATCTATGATCAATTGACATCATTCAAATGATGGTAATTTTAAAAGTAAATCTTCTTAAAGATCCTAAATGAACAATTTTTTGCCTTTAAGAAAATTTACTTTTAAAATTTTGATGTTTATGTCTTATAAGCTTATTTTCCCAATGAGCTTAAGACATAAACGTTAAAAAAAAGAAACATAACCTCAATAACGTCGCATCTCTTTCTGCTTGAATCATAGCCGTATATGACGACAATTTTTCACTTCTGTTTTCAACCATTCGAAATTTTATTGCGGCTAGAATTGCTTCCACATACCAGATTACTGGACTGACCTAAAGATGTAAAATACGTAATGCACAGATTGTGCTTATCAAAGTTGAGAGATTTAGGGTGGTTTTAATGACTCCCCAGAGGAAAAGAATCTCAGAAAATGAGCGTATTAAATAAATTAATTACCTGCAGAAAACACAGAGCAATGCGGAAAATTAACTGTTTTGAATATGTGTGCTTTATTCTTCCTCGCGCAGCATGTGCAGAAACATCGTCAATCCACCATAAGAATGAAACAACATTTAATATAAGAGAAGGTAAAACAGTAAAGACAGTAATGAATATGAATGCCCACATCTAAAACCAAATGCATTCACAATTTCTTCAAAATAATATAGTGTTGGGCAGAACAGAATTTGCTATAAATTTCATGAATCTTAGGAAACTTGAGTGTAACTGAAATTTAGCGATAGTTTATCTCTCAAATAAAGGAGGCAGAAATGTGTACCCAAAAACATCACTTGCTAGTCTATTTATTTCCTTCTTTTCTAAGCAGTAAGGGACAAAACCTACTTGATGTTCACAGTAATAAATATAAGCAGCTATAGCGTCACTGCCAATGTCGGCCAAATATGAAGCAACTGAGAAAATTGAACAAAAAATATCAAAATTGCGAACGGTAAGTGTATGGGGTAAGCGATCCGTGCAGTCTTTGATATCATCTGCAGTGTGGATTATTAATAATTAAATTTAGCACATATAAAGGAAAAGGTGGATAAAAACCGGCATACAAACATTTTCTGTGTGCCATATTCTTTGCAGGGAAGCGAAAACAAAGTATTTTTCATAATGCGCCGAACTTTAACTAAATTCCCCGGATATTATATTTTCCATGAGTCATGTAATCAATTATTAATTTGCTGGTGATCTTTGGTTTTCACAAAAACAATTTAAAACCGACAGAATCATTTCGGATATCATTCATTGCTTATCGAGAAAGTATGCTTGCATTTGGTAAAATGATCTGGCAAACATTTACCGTTATGTTAGCATTTCTGTTTAAGAGTCAATGATTTCACTTACTCTTACATCAATTCTAACAGCACAGCGGCAAAAGAAATATGCAGGAGTCTTACCATTTTCAGACTTCACATCGGGATTTACAGGATATTTCCAAAAATACGGGAGTTTTGGTTGTCTCATTTCAAAGAGAATCTCTGTCATCAACTTCACGCATAACAAAAGCAACTGCTTTCCGGAAATTCAGACTAAAAAAATTAAAGTAAAACAATGATGACAAAGATCGTAATCAGTCCTACTAATTTAAAGAATTGGCTATGAATCTCAGCACTGTTTCCAATAAATCTTTTAAAATTCATGACCCTAATGACATTGCTTACCCTGCTTACGCAACAAAGTAACCGTGTAACATTGCTTACGAGGTTACTTTGTCACTTTGTGGCTGAAATCCACAAAGCGCCATTTTTTGAAAAGCTTTTTCGCTAAAACATATTGATGGCAAAAGATGAACGTGTTTCTATTTCAGGGACGTAAGGGTTTCGCATAACTTTCAAGAAAAATACAACGGGTTTTGTAGGTTCTTTTCTTCTCCTACATCATTCAGAACGACGCCACCACAATCTTCAAAGAGTTTCACAGCCGTTTCAGTAGCCACAAAGTAAAAAAAAAATATGCGTCTCCTTCAGAAGTGCGCCGCCATAATATACTAATTTCATATTAATTTCCTCAAACAGAATAAATCGTCAGGCCATCCATTCTCATTTCATCCTTGAAATTATTAAATATCATTTGAAAGCAAATGTCAACACGGCAATTCGGGCTCGAACCTACCAGATCTTTGTGACATGGTAGTGGTTGTAGTTCACTTGTGAGTGAGTGACCATCGGGTCGTTGTAGCCATGACTGATAGAGTCGCGGCTTTATTTTTGAAACACCTACTGCAGTCTGACTTCTCCCAATGATTCACCATCATTTGTTTTCTGCTGTGACAGGACTGCACAAGTAGGTGTAAACGAAGCGAACTCTCATGGACGCGTCACTGAATCCTTGCAATTCCAAATGATTATAGTATAAAAAAGTTGAAGAGTAAAGTTTTTT